AGCGCAGGCGCACGCGGACCAGCACGCTCGAGTCGCCGCTCCTGCTGCGGGACAGAGAGGAGCGGGACTCAGCCCGGCCCTGCTGCCCCACACRGACCTACAAAGGAGCCTATCTTCTCCATGACCCCCAATTCTCTGGCGGCAGGGCTTGGGTTGAAGGGTCGTTTTGTTCTTTGGCTGGTTGGACAAGACCACTCTCCTCTCCCCCGGGTRCACTTTCACATGAGCGAATGCAGAACTTGGTGCATTCCCAGCAACAACCCATTTTTGACCCAAGAGCACTTTCTCTTTGTASCTGCTTTGAACCACAAAAAGACGCGTTTCAGGGCACCAAGATCACGCGTCCTGTAGCCTGCACGGCGTCAGGGTGCTGATCATGTATCCTGTGGCCTTCACGGTGCTGGGGAGCGGCCCCCACTCACCTGTAGCCCAGGATGGTGCAGCCGGTGCAGCTCGAGTCCAGCTCAGAGTCCTGCAGACTGGATAGGAACTGCGGGGAAGAGCAGCAATCAGCCGCGTTTCCCCAAGCAGGAAACCTGGCTGACGCCTGAGGTTTTGCAGGGAGCCAGCGACAGCCGAAGCGTCTCCACAGGTAGCCAGGGCTCCTGGGTCCATCTCCTGCACCGTCCTCATGTTCGACTCACCAGCCTCTCCAGAGCGGGGGTCAGCGCCCGGTAGTAGTCGGAGCTCTCGGCCCGCAAGCTGCTGTCGAAGGCGATGCCCCTCAGCTCCACCGTGTGCTCGAAGCTGGTCTCGCCCGCGGGCTCGCAGGCTGCCGGGAGGGTTTCGTCATAGCGGGGTCGGGGCCGCGCTGCTCATCCTGCGCCCTCAGCTGCCTGGTTGCCCCTGGCCGGTGCCGGGGTGCCCCGGGGGGCCCCGTTGCCCTGCGGGGCAACCCCATCCCGCGCRCGAGGGCAGCTGCGCGATGAGGGGCGGCCCACACCTCCCTGCACGGGGGCTGAGGTTCGGGCGGGATGGCGGCACAGGGGCGGGCGGCGCCGCGCGTCCGTCACTCACCCAGCAGGATCCCCAYGTAGAGCGCGGTGACGGCGCCCGCCACGGCCGCCACCAGCGCGGCCTTGCGGCGGCTGCAGCCCGCGCTCCCCGCCGCGCCCGGCTCCGGCTTCGCCTGCTCCATGCTCCCCCGCAGCACCTCCGGTCTCAGGGATTTAAATACAAAACAGTGATAAAAATAGGGAGACAGCAACCCCTCTCGTTGCAAACCCAGTGCCTGCAGCAACCGCAGCAGTGCCGCACTCGCGCCTATCGTCTGGGTGGGCAGAGGAGCCTGGATTTACAGATATCAAATGAGGATACAAATACAAGACGCATCAGGCACAAAGGCATCCGCTGTGTCTAATGGAGCCCAGCTGCAGGAGCATTTTGATATTTTCAAATATAAAATAGTGTTAGACGGTACAAGTCAAGAGAATGAAGCCCTTGCAGCCGAGATCTTGTGTGCACATATAGAGGCATTAATGGGTTTAAGTGTTGCAGTTGGTTGCCTTACTCTTATTGCAGAACGTCMTCGTCTTTGCTGTAACGAAGGTCTCAGATGGGACACAAGGCTCTGGACACAGTGCCCAAATAGAGGCCACATCTCCCATCCTGCTACATTGCACCTTCCAGGAAGCTGCTAAGAAACCACTTTTCTAATGCAAATTATTTGAGTAATGAAAGAGGGAAGAACAGGAGCTGGGACACTGGCAGCAGGAGAACAGATTCTGAAGAGCTTTTCAATCTTTCCCAAGAGGCGTCCAGGGCTCTTTAAACTGGAGCTTCTAGATAAGGGATTTTGAAAGGTCKCTTCATTGTGAGGGAGGAGACAAAGAGGGGAAGAAGGGACATCCTGGCCAAGATGCCTCATTTCTGAGCCCTGCAATGTTCTTCCTCAGCTGTAACTGAACCTTCCAGAGAGGCACTCGGCGCTGGAGCTTGTCGGCAGCATTGGTACCGGCCGCTCTCGCTAAGGGAGCTTTTCCAGTGGTCCCTCTGATTTAAATGCAAGGAGCAATCTCCTTTCTTTCAGTATCTTCTGGAGGCTCTGGATTACCCTCGCGTTAAGATGTGGAGCACAGAAGCTCAAAAGCGAATGCACATACACTSACCCACGCAAGGGGCAACACTGGGTGGCATTGAGGTTGCACTGGGAGGAGGAGGCAGCTGAGAAAAACTTAATGGGCAAAATGGGCCACAGGTGGCTGCCAGTTTGGGCAGCAGCAGTTAGACTGAGCTAATCTGACCGAACCCGAAAGCACATTTATGGGCTTCGCTGGGGTAAGTGGTGGGCAGTTACGGAGTTTCCCCTCTGAGAGCAGAGGGAAAGCCCCAGGGCAGAGGGCCCTTCCAGCCCTATTTTAGGGCAGTTTCTGTGCGTTGCTCTGTATCTAAGACCATCACACRGTCTAAGGTCATGCTGGGAAGCCCTCACCCAGACAGGAGCTTTGTGAAATGCTGCTGGGGGCCTGAAAAACACATTCCTTACTGCAGGTGGAGAACGAGCTCAGCAGGGGATCCAGCTGCAGCCTCCAGGAATGGCCCAACACTTGGGCAAAGATGAGGGGAGACTTGACGGGAGACTCAAAGGGCCCGGAGGGCTGGCGGCGAAGCGGGGGAGAGCGGAAGCAGGAGCGTGTTTTTCCAGTGCAGAAAACAAGAAGTGAGGAGTCCAAGCGGGATGAGGCAGCCCTGGGCTGGGGACAGCGCTCAGCCGGCGCCCGCGGGAGCGGGGAGGCCGCAGCCCTCCGGACAAGCGGCTTCCCGGCCCCGGCGCCGCCGCAGCGCCTTGTTCATTGTCCCCACCGGCCTCCCGGTAAGAGGATCCTCTCGCTGCGTGCCAGCTCCGGCCGCTGCGTGACAGCGGCGCCGCGCGCGGAGCCTCCAACATCGCTTCTCCCACCGCGCAGCCCCAGCCCTCCGCTGCCGCCTTTGGGTACGGAGCTCAGGTTTGCACCTGTGACTACGTTTGAGTCATTTTTCTATGCATTGCAGACAAAAGTAAAGGCTGTCATCCTCTCCCTGGGTTAACCACTAGGAAGTCCTGCAGAAAGAGCTGCAGGCAACAGCCAGCAAAAAGTGCTTCCAACTTCCCCGGCGATTCAGCGGGTTTCTGGGGACCGCGCTGCTCCCCGTGGCTTCCGCAGCAGCCCTGGTCTCCTCAAGCATCAGCGTGGGGAGGACTCCCACTCATCAGCATCATTTTAGAGCCAGATGGAATCAAAAAGCACCAGAAAACACCCAATGATCACATAGTAATGAAAGTTATTTAGCCTTATGTGACTAAGAAGAAAGCATTAAAAGTATTTACAGCTATTATTTCAATGAAAGCTTCGGTGTTTCTCTTAACATGCAACAACCTCAGCAGCAAACGTTGCTGTTAGAGCCAGGGAAGCAGCAGGTTTCCCCTGCAGGTGCAGGACATCCCTCCCCATCCCGGCACAGCAAACCGACACCTTTAAGGCAATGAGATTTGTTTAAAAAAAGCAGCAGCCGTGACTCACCTGCCTGGCTTTCCCACTGGGTGCGTCTCCCCGGAAAGCCTTTTCCCTGGTCAAGTAGCTCCCATCAGYTCCGCTGGCCCCGCGACTGCCCCGCGAGCCGGGCGGGAGATGCGGGCGAGTGGGAGGCACGAAGGGAGCTGCCGGCAGAGCTTAAAGGCGCAGGCTGGGACGCCGCGAGCTGCTTTCCCTTCCTTTATATTTCGCTGGACTGTTTTTAAGGACCACGTTTTTCCCCAGCTACCTGCACTGAAACTCAACCCCCAACGTCAGAGTTTCGCGCCAGCCCCCAGAGAGGTTTCTGCCATTCACGGCGTGGCTCMGTTCATCCTGGTAGCCCTTGGCTGGCACGATGGAGAGCGAGATTCCTGCCCGAAGGAGATGTTTGCATCATCCTGTGCCACACCAAGMAATGAAGAATGGCCCTTCTACAGTGTCATTCCTTCAGCCAGGCATCCCGTAGTCCCCAGGCCTCAGATACAGGTCCCAGAAGGGAAAAAAGCCACCAAACCCTCCCTTAGGGGGTCCTGCAAGAATGAAGCATTTCAGACTCTTGCACTTTCACACATCAGCACTATATTTGGACCCAAATAATCATATTTTTATCCTGTTGAAAACAGACCTGGGGCCAGGAGGCCAGGATTGCTGGAGGTCACTAGAGCTCATGAGGATAAGCAAGAAGTTCTCCTGTGCACTATTTCAGGTGTTAAACATGGAATCATTTTCCCTTCTGAAACAGTAAAAACAGACAGACAATCCCAGGTAATCTTACCTTCGGATAAGTTATTTGCAGCTAGAGCTGGAGAACTTGCGAGCTGCAGGCGTGAAACTCAGCTCTGGGTTTTAGACACCCTAAACGCGGTGCAGGAAGTGGCCCTTGTGCCCACGCCCTGGTCGTCAAGTCATTAATTCCCTAGGTGGTCCACTAATTGCCCACCCATTATCTGCACAGATGAGGCTGCTGATCCCTGGAGCACACCTGGAACTCCTCAGGCTCCCAGGGAAGGACGGGAGCAGCTGGGGCCGGAGGTCTCCAGGTGGGAGCTTGGCTGTCCTGGGGACTCCCTTCAGGCCACAGCTGTGGCACTTAGACCAATGGCCCTGGTGAAGGGCAGCGATCAGCGTCCCCATCACCGGGAGGGAGGGATGGATGATCCCCCTTCCTGAGCTGCCCTAAGCCATTCTCCATGGAAAGCCCAGCAAGTCGCACCTGGGTAAGAGGCCAAGAACTGCTCCTGCAGCAGCCGGGCAGGCAGGAGGGTCTTTAGTACCTACTTAAGATTAATTATGGGATGCAGAGATGTTTTTAAGTGTATTTAAGATAATCAGCACCAATAGCTCATGCATGTGGTGGAGAGGCGGTCAAACCACGGGTCCGTCCTGTTGCAGGAACTCCGAGCAGCAGCTCAGGGCCTCAGCTGCAATTTAAACACGTCAGATACTCAATGTGCTACTTCTGTTCCAGTGCCCGGGTCTCTGTCCAGTCCGAGAACGCTGGCTGCTGTTGCAACTCATGGAGAAAAGCCTTAGGATGAGCTCTGCAGCCAGACAGTCTTTACTATGACATTTGCCTGCCTTTATCTCTCACAAACCGGTCTGGCTGGTTCCGAGCCCTCCTGCTCTTCATTCCCCACTGCACAGAAAAGCTCGTCCTGCTGCTTCCTCCCCCTGCCCCCTCCTTGGGCTCCGGCGAGGGCTTCACTTAAACACGTACCACGTTGCAGAAGGAGATTCTTTATTCTTGAATCTTTAGATTGTCAACTAAAGACTTGGTATATGAAAGAGGTAAACAAGCAGCGCATCAACGTTCAGTTAAAAGACGTCTGTTAAAGCAAGTCGGTGCAGACACACGTCTGCAGCCATCAAATAAAGGTATAAACAGTTTCCTCTTCATCTGTTCCTCTACATTAGGTTTTACGTTAAGCTGATCGGGGAGGTTTCTGAAAAACAAAGAGCACAGCCTTGCTTTTGATGGAAGTGACTGAGCTGAGGCCGGATCAAGATCCAAACAGTCGCAGCCAAAGGAGTGCACTAGGGTCTCCTGATTTATACAGTACTGGAATAGTCAGAGTATGGAACTCAGCTCACATACTTCAACTGGAGGTATTGCACGAGCAGCTAAATAGTGATTCCTTCTCCACGCTGATCTTTCTAGTTTTGGGGAGAAGAAAAAAAAACACACTAAAAATCAGACTGAAAACTCTCAAATGTAAAATAAAGCTTATGCTCCTAGCAGACCAATCTGAAATACATGAGCAAAGTGACTGCTGAATGCCTGCCAGTTAATCAGCATTTGAATTTTTTCCATTTTAATTGATTTGTATAAACAACTTAAGATAAACTGTTTCCCAACACACATTACATCAGATGAGAGCAAGTGTTTAAATACATATTTCAAGACGATGATAAAATTTAGTACTTTGTTATCATCAAAAAACCTACTGTCTTTTAAGGATATAAAAAACCTATTCCAAACAACACTATGGCTGAAAGACAGTCAAGACAGAAAACATAAAACCGAGTCAGTCTCCAAACATTTTTTTCCTGCTATTTGCAAGGTCACTATTTAAACATAGGTTTATTTTCTTATTTTAAATAAATGTCTAGTATACATACTTATACAGTGGCTTAAATTAAGGCATAATCCAGCTGGCTGAAGTTTTGAATAAAATGTCTCTGTTGCTTTGCATCTACTGCTTCGTTTTGTCGCTCTGTTGCTTTTGTGACAACTGCTTCATTCACCCCTGGCAAAACCAGCGTAGTCCATTAAAGAGCAGACTGGAAAACAGACCTCTCTCCACTGCCATTTACCATGATCCATTTGGGTCATTTATAGTAAATGTAGCACAGGTCTTTGGACTCAAAAGTTTTTCAAGAAACTCACCATTAAATCAACTTATCAGGGAGGGCTCGAAGCTTTAAGCAGAAGCAGGTAAAATTTGGAATCCCTCGTGTGGTTTTACAGGAAGCCCTTAACGCTCCAGAGAAACCAGGCTGTCCACCCACCACGGCACGGGAGAGATGTGAAAAAGAAGTTCCCATCCAAAACACAGCACAAAACCAAGCTTTTGGAAGGCCTAGCAAAAGACTGTGATGGAAATTTAACGCCTATGGGCATAAACAAAGAACCTTCCAGCATTTAGCTCACCAGGCCAACTAGAGCTGAACTTAAAATCCACTTCGGATCATGACTCCAAAGGGATATAACTGTAAATATCACATTTGGGGTCTCGGAATACACAGGAAGTATTTCTTGCCTGGCATTTGAAATTGTATTCTAGAATATTTCTATAACATCTTCATTTCAGATTTGAAGATCTTTTTTCTTTAAGGGAATGCAATATAAGCACAGAAAACTGACACCTTTGATAAAGCCAAGTGTTCCAACTTCTTAAAATGGAATAAGTGATATGCAAACCTCATTAACCCTCAACATGTAGCAAAGTTGATGCATAAAAAGCTCAATCATGCCATACAAAAAAAATTGTACATTTTCTGGTAATGTAACACAACAGCTGCACCTGAAATAGTTAAAAAGTAGAGAGATTTAGTCCTTCATAATAATGTCATGTAGCAAAAGGTATAAAATAACAGGCTGGGTCACAGCCTCTTCCCAGAACCTGACAGGCCTCCCTGGCTACTTTAGGGACAGAGATCAAACACAACTGAGGCAGCTTACTAGTTACCGAGTGACAAGTAACTAAACCCCGACCCAGGACAGCACCACACGCACTCCTGGAGAACGATGACACCTGACTGTTTTCTTCGGAATTAAGAAATCACACCTATGTTCCTAAAAAAAGGAACAAACGGAAGCTCAAAAACCCCACAGCCATTTTCCATTTAATGTTTCTCTAAGGGAAATACTGCCTATTAAGCTGAGTATAGCACTACCACTTACTTGACCTGTTTAGATTTTTTTTAAACAAACATTCATAATAAACTTATTTTACTATGCTGTGTGTTGYAACAGACACCGTATTGTTTCCCAGAGGCAGCCTCCAGAACTCAGACGAGTGCTTACAGTGCTTCCTGGAGGTCCATTCATCCTGCCTTTTAAACTAGACTAGTAGCCAACCCAGGTACCTGGAAGTAAAAACAAAGGAAAAAAAAAGAAAAAAAAAAAAAGAAAGAAGAAAAAAAGACATTAAGAGATGCATTTAATGCACCATGGTAATAAAAGTCCTCTCAGAGGCTGGTCATGTCACCAGCTCTCTGCATTGCCTGAATGTCAGTTAATACTAAAGCATTCCCTTGCATCAATGGCTTTGACAAGCAGGGAAAAAAGTAAAACACAACAACAGGGAAAGTGCTAAAAAAAGGTATCATGTTTCTCTCAACTTAGCATTGTAGCAGACTCGTTCAACGGTTTTCCTTTCCCCCTCCATGTTCAACTACACTATGCTAAAGCAGCACAAGAGCTACACAAGCACAGAGTACTGTTTAAATAAAAACTCTTAATACTACCCCAGTATAATGGAACTGGAGCAGCAGAAGGCATCCACTAGTAAAATGATCACCAAAATTCATACATCAGAACCCTTGTAGAGCACCATATTTCAGAAAGATCTTTGAAGTGTGTAGCTGTACCGAAGCTGGAGGCAGAACATTCTCAGTTGGATTTGATGATCAGAATTCTGGTGAGGTTTCTCAATGAATGTGGACACTACTAAACCAGTCTAAATACATACTGGTTTTAGGCGGATCTGTCTGTGAGGGGGAAGAAAGAGGGTTCCTATCAGATTGCTTATTCCAGCGGGGCTTGCTCTGGGGTTAGGCCTTTGCTGTCGGGGTCGTCCTTGTTCTGACCGGCTGGTTCCYCGCCCTGCGAGACGGGAGTTTCTCCCTGTTCCGTCTCTGCCTTGGGATCGTCCAGCTCCGCCGCCGCCAGGCTGGGGTCACGCAGCTCCTCCACGTGCAGGGTGGGATTCGTCATTTGCTCCGTGTCTTGCTGAGAAGCTGGTACGTTGGTATCTTTGGGAAGCTCGTGGCAGCTGACGGGAGCTATGACCAGGGGAGGCTGAGGTAGGTCTTTCTGTAAAAAAGACATCGCTGTTAGGATGATGTGAAGCAGGAACTACAACTGCTACTGAGAGGAGCAGAACTGCGGAAAGGCGAATCCCTACTCAAGGTCACAGCAAATGCAGTCAAGTAGGTGCYCAGTTACAGGGGCAATCGGAACCGCCAAACAAGATGAAAACAAAAGGCCGGGCATCTCCGCTAGCAGCAGCGTCCAGTAGTGGACAGAGATGCACTCAGTTGACTCATCCGCGCTTTCTGCAAGCTAGTCATTCTCCCAAGCTGCTAAATTTATTAAATGATCTATTTATTTACTTAAACCCTTGTAAAAATCTGATCAGCCACAACAATTTTTACCAAATTATAATTGATCTCAAATGTATTTTCAATCATTCGTCTTCACAATTTCCCCCTGGAGAACTGAGTTTATCAAAAATAGTTAATGAAACGATGTTCCCCTGCAGGGGAACCTCCAGGTTCCCCATTCAACCAACCTATCCAAAAAAATAAATACGCATTATTAAAAAAACAAACAAAAAAACCCACAAACTTATCACAGAGAAAATAATGATAATTTAATACCTCATACCAGATTATGAAAAAGATAAAAAAGTTTTAGAGCTACTTACTGCAATAAAAATAATCGTAATATTTTCAAAAATCAAACCATTAAAGTTACAACAGAATTAAGATGCATAAACAAGAACTCATTTACTTTTCACTAGTCAGTTTAATTGGCCATGGGCATTAAAGGAAAATTAAAATATTAAAATTATTAAATTATTAAAATTTACACACACACACACACACTGAGGCGGCCCCCCCCAAAATTACGAAGGAAACATTCAGTCAAGGAAAACAACATTTTTTGTTGCTGTTGGATAATACTACAATATTTTACTCAACTTTAATTCTAGTTAGGTTTTATAATATTAGTATTTCTCGGAGACACTCATATCAAACTGGTATTCACCGCAAAGCCGCTGCCCGTCCAGAACATTGTGAGCTCCTTTCTCCAAAGAGCCACTGCAAAGCTCGTGAGAAGAGTGCAGGGCACCAAGTAGAGGAGAGCTGGCTGGCCCATCTGCATCAGTGCCAAGGCTACAAAGGTGACAAGAAGGCCTATTCCATAGGCTAGAGGCAAAGAAAACCAGCAAGAAGAGTTATTCTGGTACAGCTGAGTTAAGAATAGTTAAATAACTAGACAGATAAGCATTTTCATGGCTTTTTTTCAAGCTTCTTCAAGCATACATACCTGCAAATCCTACACATACAAGTTTGGAATAATAATCTGTATAGCAGATACAGATACATACAATAGTCTAATATACAGTTCTGAAAGTAATGTGGCCTGCCCAATAAATGCTGTGTGATTAATTCATCACCCTGAGCAATTTTGAAGAGTTAAATTAAATGGAACACTTTCTACTGTACTTATGAATTCAACAGCTATGGTCAAGATTATTTTGACCACTGTAATGCCACGTTTTTCCCTCTACCTGCTGGCTGCACTCTTGCTAAGGCAGCCTGGTCTGCAGTTAGTTTTCATTACTGCAAGAGCCCACTGCTGGCTCTTCATGGATATGACCTTTTCCTATCAATTTCTGCAAAAACGGTGTCAGAACAGACCTGAGTTTAGCTCAAGAGCTTCTGAGATTTACTTTTCTGTGCTAGTTCACTCTCTAATAATGCGAGGAGGAGAAGAATCATAAATCAAACTGTCATATATGATTTATGCTATGCTTTTAAAGGGAGCTGTTCTTCAAAGTGTTGTGCACAGGTCAGTGTCACACATACCTATTGTGCAGGCTACAAAATAGACTCTGGAGGACTGCACCTGAATATCAAATCTATGGCAATAGGCCACCAATAAGCCTACAAAAGAAAAGAACAGTAACAGCAATTTTTCAACCCATCTCTAGATGAAGATTAAAAAAAGTAACAATTTATCTAAGCATGCTTAAGTTTTATGTACATTAACATGAAATTAAGACAAACAGCATAGAGAGAACATAAAAGGTTTACTTAAATACATCAGCTTTATTCAAGCCAATCAAGTTTCCCATTTGAAGGGTGAGTAGAAGGGGAATAAATGAATACTACATGTGCAACAAGAAAAATTCTAAACATACTAAGACATACCTGGAACTAAAATGTCTCCAAATCCTAGGAGAGAAAAAGGTCTATCACAAAGAGCCAATGGTGAAGAGTTGAGTCTTGGAACCTTCAGGACCATTGGGAGCTTGGAAATGAAAGAGAAGAAAGAAATACGAAGTGTGAAACAGTAATACACACACACACACACACACACACACACGCACGCACACCAAACTTTTATTCATATCAAAATATCTCAGTAATGCCTTCTTACCTACTTGGGTTTCTCTCCTCTGCCTTTGACATTTGCTTTTCATAAAGCAATTATCAAAACAAAGGGCAAGCCACAGACTGAATACCATTTTAGTATTTGTTAAAAACAATATGCTTCATTAGCAATTAGTTATATTCATAAACATGTTCATATATTCTTGTGAAACTAAGCTAATCTACTTCCTTGTGCAGAAATCCTCATAAATAAAGATAAAGGAAAAGGAAGGCTATTATGGTGAGCCACTAAAAGTGTGTTTTGACCCCTCAGCTTTTACTGTGGATTTCCAAAGAGCCCAGGAACACTATATTTCCTCACAAAATTCTTTTCAGATTGACATCTTCATTTCAGCTCTTTGAACTTCAGAGCAGTTGAAAAATGTAATAGCTGGGAGTTTGTCTTGTATTTTCAGGCTACGTACAGTACCTTTTCATGAGTGGCAGAATCAGACGGGCCTGCAGCAACCTCCACCATTATACTCTCCCCAGTCTGAAGAAAAGAGGGGAAATTGTAAACCAGCACGTCAGCCAACAGGTCTAGGTTCATTCAGGAACACAGAACGGCTCTGGGAGCAGGAGGCATAGACAGGCACTTCACTTACCTTTGTTAGAAAAGGTGTGATAAATACAAAAAACACATCATACACAAAAAGAACCAGGAGGAGCAAGGTACAACCCTGAAGAGAGAGGCAGAAACCTTARTGAGCATCCACATACTATGCATTAGCAAAGAAAGAAGAAACAGCAATTTCAGAATATTCAAGTCAAAAGTTGGCAACAACTGCAAGACATTCACATATTTTCCTTAACTCCTATAGATTTTTTTTAGGTCAAAGAATCTGGCCTTTACACAGCATATAAAGGGAAAAAATCCTCAGGCAGAAAATTGCGTTAATCCCCAAAACTCCTTATCCTGCAAAATCTGAAGATGGCTCCATTTCAGTGTGTTGCAATCACTGAAGAATTTATTTTTTCATTTTTTGGACACTAGATACAGCTTGAAACAGTATCTGCAGTAAAACAGCTTTCCTGAGGAGGCTGGCCAAAATTACAGGTGAAGACAACTTGAGACAGAGCTTTAAGAGATGCCTGAGGAACAAAACCATTGGCACTGATTTTCATCTTGGATTACTCAATCMGAGGGGTTAAGTCAACTCTGTTTTCAGCATGGTTCAAATGTTACTGGAAAACTAAGTCTATATTGCAATATGAAGAATTTAGCAAAGATGCTAAAGAACCAGATGAAGAAGTAAGCATGACTCACTTCACAAATGTAGCCCTTCACAAGAGACTCGAAGCACACAGCTGACAATATTAAGAATCAATCTGACTATAGTCTATAAACCCTAACTCGGACACCAGAAATTGGACTTACAATTCAAGGAAAACTAGCAGGTTTAAGCTATGCAAATTTAGACCAGCAATACAGCAAATAATTTTAGGTACAAGATGAAATCCAGCTACTATGAGTCTCCTCATCTGAAGGTAGGTTACTAGCATCATTCAAAACCATTATGCACCACTTAGGCACGTTGGTCTGCATTAGGTTTGTTACTTCACTTTRCCAAGACATGCAAGACGAAAGCACAATGTCCAAACTGACATATGTGAGTTGACTTAACCTTTCTATACCTATAGAAAGGCAAACCTTTCTATACCTATGTAAATTCCATACCTTAAATGTAGGCAGGCGAATGGTTTTCAACATGTAAAGACAGAAAGCAATTCCTAAAGCATCTTGTAAAATCCAGGCCCACCTGGAAAAGAAAATAGTGATTTTTTGATTTTTTTCCTCCCTCTTCCCCGCCCCCCCCCGCCCCTTTCTTTTTTAATCCACAGCTGAATTTGAAATTGAAGGGAGAAAGGAAAGGTCTTTCTCTCAACTCACGTTCAAAGGAAAAGTGAGTGACTGAAATTAAAGATCCAAATTTAGTGTTTCATCTTCTATGCAAAATCTGAGCTGAAAACTACTGTAAAGTGCTAGTTTGTCATTTAAATACATTAAGTTCATAAAGACTCAAGTAATAATCGCTATATGGAAGTTATTACTCATATCTTTGATTTTAATTCAACTCCAGTTCATGTTGGTTAAACTAGTGACAATAAATATAGAAGAACTTACTTTTAATATTAGTAATATAAATTGTTTGTGGAATGATAAAGAACATTTAAACTCTAAGTTTTCAAGCACAGAAACACAAATATACACTTACTGATCTTCGTTTCTGAAGACTCCCCAGACTACACTGACAGAGATACAAAATGCTGCCAACAACAGCATCCGGATCTGGGGACGCTTGTGGAAATAAGGCAAGTTGTTGTCTGGGATTCTGAAAATGAAACAGACCAACCAAACCTAAAGGCACAGCCATCTGTACATCTTCCATTTTGAAGTATGAAGCCGGTGAATCTATCACCTATCCAAGGTTTTTTTTTTTTGATGTTGGATAATAAGATGTGAAAAATCATCACATACCTGCATTTTCCTAAGGGGAATCTTCTTACAAAGGGAGACAAACAACTGTAAAGACCAATTGAGGCAGCCAGGCAGAATATACCTATAATCACATAGACTGAGAAAGAAAACGTACTAAGTGCAAGTAGTATAAAATAAGAAATACTTAAAAGTCCCAGCTGAACAAAGAACAGATTTCTATTCCATCAATTAGATGAGTGCAGTGAGTAGAATCTATATTTTTTAAAACTGCTTCCCATTTTAATACTTTAAAATAATTAATAATACAAGAGTAGAGGGTTGAATAAGGCCTTGGACAAAAATAGGCGTCTAAGACATTAAGCCTGCATCTACTTAATAGGCTTTAGTGTTYGAAAGAAGTTTCATGTTCACACATTCCACTCTCACTAAAACTAAGTACACAGATGTAGCCAGCAGGTTTGGGGGTTCTTTTTTTTTTCCATGATTTTCATTTCAATGTGATTTACACAGCTATTGATAATCATTTTTACATAGAAAAGTTAATTGATGACAGCCAACAGGTATTGAAGACTTCAACAGAAATAGTTTTAAGGATACCTAAGTGGTCATAGAAGAAATAAAGGAGGACCAGCATCGAGCAGCACATCACGACAAACACACAGATCATTATCGGAGTCACATCGACAGTTTCATCATCATGTTTCTCTGCCCCATCATCACGTTTGTGCTTCATGTATCGCCTGAAAGGGAAACACGAATATAATCAGACCACTCCTGCAACAACACATAAGGGCTCTGAATTTTCAGCAACATGTTAGAAATAGTGACAACACCACGATTTGGAAAATACAACTTGGCAGGAATGGATTGCCATTGCAGAGATTCCCACTCCAGTCAGCAAAACCCCACATGTCTACAAAGGCAGATGAACAACAACTTCAACATGATGCATAAGAATTGCTGTATTCATTTATTACGAATTATTATATCTTTTTCATTTAGTAGCAACTCTGAACAGAATCCATATCACATGAAAGATATGCTGTAATAATTTCATGCAGTGATAAGGTCTCTTAAATGTGTCACATCAGGATTCTCCCATTCTGGTTATACCGACCTCATCAGCAGAGCTATCAAGTTTCTTGAGATAACCCTGCCATGCACTCCCTCTTCCCTCCCTGTTCTGTGAAAAATACAGCAAGAAAACTGATATCCAGCAACCAAATTACTCACTTTTTCACGTCTCTGCTTCCTGCCCAGTAGCCTCCAATTGCAACAGTCCCCACGGCCATGACAAATATAATCACCATGTTGTAGTCCAGCACTGGCTCATTGGGCGCATACAGCGCTCCCTTCACCGACCTGCCGAAGCTCTGCACAGACAAGAAGAGCTTATGAAGAGCTCCGAGCACATTTCAGGGAGACCAGTCTGCTCTTGAAAGCTCTCAATTTTATTTTCAGTACTACTTTTCTTAGGATAAATATCACCAAAACAAGCACAGCCAGATGTCGAATGCAGTGCAAAGAACAGCCTTGCTCTAGCATTACAAATCTGAATGCAGTTAGATGAGACTTCCTTCTCTGTGACCTAGAGGTACCACAGACACTTACAGTTCTGCTCCTGCACGAATGCAGACCTGCCCAGGCACAACTAGGTGCCCTTTGCTGCCTCAATCAAGAGGTGACCCAGAAATATGATGACATTGGACTCAGGGAGCAAGTTTAAGGCTCATCGTCTACATGCCTGTTTTATTCTGCAATAGTAGTGAGCTCAGTGTTAATCTCCTGAGCAGAAACTGCATTTTGGTTCATGCAGTGGAACAGCTCCACAGCAAGTGACTGAATTCCTGCCCAGAACCAGAAAAAAAATGGTCTTCCACCCRCCAACAGACACTCAGAGTGCATTACCAGATTAGGTATTTTGTTCAGAATACTAACCATTAAACAAATACTAAAATAATGCAAACTTCATGAGTGCAACTCAGGAGACTTAAAGCTCTGAAGATGTATGTCAAATATGTTCTTGAGTAATGATTCATCTGGGATGGTACTAGTTAGAGCACTTATTGAATTTACCTTGCCGATATCTAGCATATCKGTGTAGCTGAGCAGTGCCACAGGAATATCAATCTCTTCGTACTGACTCCTGTTACCCCCAGGAGGAACCTGCAATACAATCCAGAAATGGATCAAAATATATTCAGTTCTGCAGAAGTGTTAATTTCTCCAGAAGAACTGCAGCTGCAACTTTCATTTTTTGTTAATTTCGGCAATACTTGAAAAGGGATAGGATATTACTTGCAGAATTATTATACAACAAAAGCTACAGAAAAATAGTCATATTCTGAATACAAATACACACACACACATCCTATTTAATCAGCATTAGTGAAAAAGCATTTTAAAGGGGAAGTGGCTTTAAGATGAGCATCAGATATCAGAAACATTACTATCAGCAGTAAGCACTGAAGACAAGATAGTAGATCACATATGAAACACTGGGTAGAAAAGAAGTTGTATGAGAAAGTACCTAATGTCAGAGAAGCACCAGTAAGGTAGAAAAGCACAGAAGGAGACTTACCAGCCTTTCTCTGCTAACAATCAGCAGGCCACGAGCTCCGTTTATCTGAGCGAGCCTCACTTTCTCATAGAAGGTGCAATTCCCTCGCATCACCATGGGGATTCGATTAATAAATCCACCATCAGGCACATCAGAAGGAGAACACAAAACAGATGCTGTCTGGTCCTGCAGTTGCAAGAGGGACTGCAAAGATGAAGAAATTAGCTGAAAGAAAAAGAACAAAGTTCTCCCCCACTCCCCACTTGTTTCTTTCTCACATTCTAGTGATTCCAGGCATCCATAAGGGAGCAAATTCCTGCTACTTTAGTCCTTCTCCCTCAAGTCCTCTTATTGAAAGAGAGCAAAACCAACCAAACTGGCAGTGCAAAAGGCACTGGCTACTGCAATGAAAATCTGCTCATCAAAACCTACTCTCACATTTGACAGAACCATGAACCAACAAGGTAAAACTAAAGGTCATGCTCCATGGCGTTAGGAAGGCCATGTGGTATAACTTCATATCACATTAACAGAGGCAAACTCCATTATTGAAACAAATAAATTCCATTTTCATGTAATTGTTCCTAACAGCCAAAAGAAAGACTTGTTTCCAACCCAAAATAGCTTTTCGCTTCTACAGGTGCTAGGAAAGTAATACAGCTGTTACCGCACTGAATAAGGAGATATTAACAGACAAAGGTATTTTTAAGTTAAGCAAACACATTAGTCACTTCAAATTCTACTGATTCAAGTTAGAAATTAAAAGTTTCCCTAGAACACAGACTTTTTGGAATGCATTCTTCTGTTATTACTTGGATGGGTACTTACAGCTTTACCCAGGTCGTGTGGCAAATGGGCCCACTGAGAATTGAAGAGGATGCAGTAGTCTTTTCCTTTGCTGCTTCCCTTCTCTGAAAGGACATGGACCATCCCATACTCACAGCACACCTGCAAACAYGTAGAAGAGTCACAAAAAAGTCTAGTACCTCCACAGAAGAAGTTGGCATCAGCAGAGATGAAGCAAGGACGATTCCAGGTTCACATCACTCCCGAGTTCAGCCTCGGACGCTTTGCCATAGGTCTGACAATACCTCGCAGTACCCTCAGCTCGGTTTTGTGCTGGGCAGCACATGGAAGTTCAAGACTACACACCCCATTTCCCACTGAGGTTATTATAACTAAAACAATTCACTCTAAAAGCAAACCAGSATCATCTTCCCTCAAAAAAAACTTCCGTCTTTCGGTGAGTGAAAAAGATACCCCCTCCATACGCTCACAGACGGCACTACCTATATTTGAAGGAGTTTTAAAGGAGGTAGCATGAGCAGCAGAAATACACGAGCAGCAAGCGAGCCCTTGGCCGCTGCAGCACGACGGCTCCAGCCACCCAGGCAGCCCGTTCGAGGCTCCCCCGGGCCCGGCTGACACCGGGCTGCCCAAGGAACGAGCAGGGAGGCTGTGGCCTCCGGAGCCAAGGCCAGGGGCCCCCCAGGACAAGGACCCGACTGCCGGCATCTCCCCTGCTCCTTCCCTGTGCTCACCCTTGCAACCTGCTGCAACAAACAGGCTCCACGCCAGGCCCTGACCCACTCCTGTCCTGACCCACTCCTGTCCTGACCCATTCCTATCTTCCATCCCCAGGCTGGCACTGCCAGGCTGTTAGAAAGGGTGGAGAGAGGCACCAAAGTCAGGCAGGAGATGCAGGGGAAGGGCAGATGCTGCACACAGAACTAGGTGGCCACTGGGCAAGTAGATATCAGTGGCAAGAAGCCACTGCAGGGGACAGAGGTAGGGGGAAAAGTCACTGTCAAACCAAAGAGTCACACCAGCAAGACCCAAGATCTGCTGGCCTCCAAGTTTACTAATGGATAGTGAAGATCCTTGACAATCCTTTAAASATCCAAGAATGCTCGAAAGCTTCCAGAAGCCCTGAAGCGCAAAGCCGCACACCTGACAGGCTGCGCGTTCCCACACGGGATTACAAGCTTGGCAGGTGACATGCAGTCCGTGAGACCTTCACCGTCTGTGCTCCAGAAATGTATTAAGGCAGATAAAGGACAGGAAAACAATCACAGGGACAAACTGATCGTTTGGGCTCAGCCGCAGCTCTGCTCGGCCCCGCGGCTGCCGCTTTCCCCGTTGCCGGGAGGACCATCCCCAAAGCCGGGCCCAAGGGGCGGCTTCGGCACCGCGGAGGCCTCTCCCGGCCCCAGGCCCGCGTCCCCACAGCCGCATCGGGCTGTGCCCCGCACCGGAGCCGGGCTGTACCGCACACCGGAGCCGGGCTCAGCGGGGCCGCTCACCTGCGCCACGACGAGCAGGAGGAGCAGGGCCGGGAGCCGCGCCCGCCGCGCCGCCGCCATGGCGGCCCCGCCGCCGCCCGCCTTTGTTCGCGCCG